AAAAAAAATGCAATTCCAAGTATAGCAGAAGCTGAATCTGAAATGGGGTTAAAAATGGCAAATGAAAGAAATACTGAGGGTCAAAAAGTCATGTCATGCTGTACTTGGGATCTAAGCTGTTCACAAGAATGCATTTATACTAGACAATTCTGTGGCTCATTTGTTGCAAGAAAGACCAGATTTCTTTTACCCTAACGCTGAATGGTCCCATGATAATCTAAGAAGAGTACAGTGGTACCTCAATATGCTTGAGTAATTTGTTCCAGAAGACGTGACAAATACTAAAACTGACCAGTACTGAGAAAACCATGTGACCTGCTATTTTGGCCAGAAGAAATAGCGAGTCACGAAGCAGCCGACGTCAGAAAGTTCTTCCTTGTGCATTGAATATCAAATTCAACAAGTTTTGAAGCAGTCAATTGCCAAGGTATGACTGTATATGATTAATAAAAAGATAATTATAGCGGCAAATATTGACTTTTTACTGAATAAACAGAATGACCATGGTCGAGCAAAAAGGCATGGAAGCGGGAGTGGGTTCCAATTTCCTGCTGGCTTCCCCATTGACTTTGCTTGTAGGAAGCAGGTAGGGAATGTTAGAAATCATGATCAGGTGACCACAAGGATGCTGCACTGGCTACAAATTTGCAAATTAAACTGATATAAACATCATAAAAATTTCAATTCCACAGGAGTAAAGGATCCCAGATTTTTTATACATTCTTTAAGTTAGTAGATTTTAGGTACCTTGATTCAAAAGTTATGGTATAAGGTGCCATGTGGGCTAACTTGAAGGTATAAACTGATCAACACAATGAAAGCTTTAGTAGTATATAGATATTGAAAATATTTATGGATTGTATCTCATTGCATCCAAAGAGCTAGAATTTATTTTTATTTATTTATTAGATTTTTATCTTATCTTTATTACTTTATAAATAGCTCAAGGTGGTGAACATATATAATACTCATTCCTTTTCCTATTTTCCCCACAACAATCTTGTGAGGTGGGCTGGGCTGAATGAGAGTAAGTGGCCCAAAGCTTTCATTCCTAAGGCAGGACTAGAACTCACAGTCTCCCTTTTTCTAGACCAGTACCTTAACCTCTATACCAAAATGGCTACATTTTTCACCTTTTTTTGAATACATTTTTTTTGTTTATAGCATATTTGATCCTTTGAATGGCAAACAGTGGTTGCACTTTCAATAATCAGGCCAGGATAGGGAAATAATTTTGTATGATGGCAGAGACTATGTTATAAGTTGTTATTGGAATTCATGCAAGACCCCTTATTTTGATAAATATTAGTGTTTTTAGATCTTTGTATCTTGTAAGCTGCCCAGAGCTCTTAAAAGAATGGGTGGTTATAAATAAATTGCATGTGACCAATGAGTTCATGTGTGAATTTACAGCTTTCCTATTTACCATGTTTCCCTGAAAATACGACCTATTCCAAAAATAAGCCCCAGCTTGAAATTTACGTGTCCACCATTTAATATAAGCCCTACCCCCTGAAATAAGCCTTAGTTTTGGGGCGAGGCGCATGCGTAAAAATCAAGCTATAGTGGGGATGGGAGGTGGAGCTGCCCCATGCGCCCTGCACTCATTTACCTTAAGATCACTGCAGCCAGATCTCCCATGCCCCGACACCTGTTGCACCACTGCCTGAGTTCTTCTGCGGTCACTTGCAGCTACATGCCATGTGGCGCATCGTGCTGCTACTGCCACTTGCAGCAAAGGCCACATGGCTCATCATGCCAATCATGCTGCTGCTGCCGTTCAAAACAGGAGGCTCAGTGGCTCGTAGCTCCTATTGTGCTGCTGCCGCCGCTCACAAAACATTGTCTCTGCAAGCAGCAGTAGTGGCGCAAGTGGCAGAACAAACCACATGGCCTCTTGTAGCAAGCATCAGCAGCGGTGCAATGTGTCACATGGTGTGCGGCCGCAAGCAGCTGCATAATTACTCGGCCAACGGCATGACAGTTATCGGGGCGTGAGAGGCCTCGCTACAGTGGTCCTAAGGTAAGACATCTCCCGAAAATAAGACCTGGTGCCTCTTTTGGAGGCAAAAAAAATATAAGGCCGGGTCTTATTTTCGGGGAAACCCAGTATCTTCAAAAAGAATGTGGGGAAATAGACATACTAGAGCAATGGTGGCGAACCTATGGCACGCGTGCCAGAGGTGGCACTTGGAGCCCTCTCTGTGGGCACATGTGCTGTTGCCCCAGCTCGGATCCCCCCATAACCCCCTCACCAGCAGTCCCCCTGGAGAAGAGTCGCCCCCGAGCATGGCCCATGCAGAGCAGCACAGTGAAGGACATGGCAGCCAGGCAACGTAGACAAGACTCTGTTCTCACGCCCCATCACGCACAGTTGATGCTGCGGGGCGCGGGCAGAGGGTGTGGCCGCCATGGCACTGCTAGGCTGCATGGGTGAGAGGCCCTGCGGGCAGGCGGAGCAGGGAATAGGGTCAGGACAATATATTCAATAACATAGTAAGAAAAGTAAGAAAGAAAAGCAAACAGAACACAATATAGCATTACTATCTGAACTTAATAGTCATTCAGTTTTCACAGTTTATTTCTACACAACAAAGATTGATGAAAGAGTTGGTAATTTTAGTTCTTATATGAAAGGAGATTGGCCATTGTAGTTTTTTTGTTGTTTTACTGAAGTCAATAGATTTCCAATAGCAAAGACCTTAGTCAGAAGATCTCACATGCATTGGCAATTATAAATGTACTTCTTGATCCTAACTGCATCATATCAAACTTTGTTTGCATGAATTTATCATTGTTACCCATAACTTCAGTTTCACACAAATTTGGAAATATTTAAGCCTTGTGGTTTCATTTGCTTTGACTCTGTAATGAACGCTGACTTTATCAGACAGGCTCTTTAGAGGTGATTCTTGACTTACAACCAATCCGGGATGAGAATTTGCTAAACAAGATGGTTGTTGAGTTGCACCTGATTTTATTACCATTTCTGCCATGTTTGTTAAGCAAATCACTGTGGTTGTTTAGATGATCATGTTGTTGTTAAGCAAATCAGCTTCCCCCACTGATTTGTTGGGAGCTTCCTAGGAAGGTCACAATGGTTATTACATAACCCTGGGACACTTCAGCTGTTGTCAAAGGCATATTAGTTGGCAAGCAGACGTATTTTGATCATGTTACCATGGGGATGCTGTGATGGTCATAAGTCACTTTCTTTAGCGCCAGTTATAACTTTGAACAGTTGCTAAATAAATGATTGTAAGTTGAGAACTACCTGTATTTCTTACAGAAGCAAAGAATTTAAGTGGTCCATAAGTGAATCATTTATCGTTGAACTGCTCAACTGGTTGCATTTTTCTAAGTTTTGTGTAAGGGCTACAGTTGCTTCAAAAGCCAGCTGGCCCTACTTGTGAATTTTCAAACTAGGCCTCTGAGCCTGAACCTTGCAAAAGACAGAATGACTATAATGTTGTAAGAGAGCCTTCATCCAGTGGTGCGATTCAGATATGTGAACAACTGGTGCTCTGTGAGGATGCTGCTTCCAGAAGTCCATTCTGCACCTGAGCAACAAAAAATTAGCTACCAGTTCTGCCAAAGTGGTGCAAACTGGCTGAATCCCACCACTGCCATCATCTATTCTTACGTTAGCCTTACAAGGCTAAGAAGAGAATAGCATGCAGAAGTGCTAGTTCAATCTTTATTACAATGTTACATTAACAGCAACTAGTTAGTCCAGCGGCTTCCAACCTTTTAGGCACCAGGGACTGAGACAGGTTTTTCCACGGATCAGAGGGGGTGTAGTTTCACATGCTGCCTGCATCTTGCGGATCGGGCTTCGCTTGATTTCTGATTTCTGGCATGCTGCGGCCCAGGGGTTGGGGATCCCTGAGTTAGTCTATCTATTAGTTCCAGACAAGAAAAATGCAGGAGTACTAATTCTATCTTTATTACATTAACAGCAATCAGTTAGTTTATCTACTAGTTCCAGGCAAGAAGCTGGAGGAGTATTAGCTCTACCATTATTAAAAGATTACATTAACAGAATCTTGCAAATTTGAAAGTACTCCTACCATCCTTCATTTTTACTAGGAAAAATCCCTTCTGAGATGCTTTCCTCATCCCCTCCTCTTTCCCACTCAAGTTTTATCAGACTGTGGTCTGGGCAGCTGGTTTGCCTCTTATCTTCCAAGGACATTTCTACATACCACTGGAGCTCCCAAGAGATGGAAATGGTTGAATACAGCCCTATTTTTCTGAATCCAGGTTATAGGGGAATTGGAAAAGGGAGCATTACTTTTAACCTAATAGTAAGAAACAAAATCTGAGCAAGGCCCAGTAACTCCTGCACATAGCAGCAAACAATCAGCCGAACCTTAGTTAGAAAATTGTTTCTCTTTATGGACAACACTCCCTCCATATATGAATTAGTAGTCTTTACAACACAATAAATACGAAAATGCAATGGATTGGAACTGCCCCTGTATATGAAAAAAATCACACCTTTAAAAAATGTGAGAAATAGCATTTGGCTGGTTGTAGTATTTGCCTCGCTTACTGTCCTCCTTTAGACTTAGGCCAAGCAGAGTGAAGTTAGAGAGGTTCCTTTTCGTTATGAATAGAAATACTGTATCTTCCCAAACAGCCCTGAGAACAAGGAAGCCCTAGTTTGCTATCTAATCATTTTTAAAAAAAAAAAATCTAATGTAATCATTTATCAATACGACGGCTTAAAGCTTTATCAGCGCTTGCGGGAGCTAGTCAACCCGAAGCCCATCCGCCTTTCTCGGCCAGAACAAGGCGGTCTGGGGAAACGGAGACCATCTATCCCTTCCCCCCTTCTCCCGCCCTTTTCTTCAGCGCTCAATGGGAAAGGAGGTCGATGACGTCTTCCGCCACTAGGGAAGGACTCGAGCTGAGTTCGGGGAAGCCTCGAACGATCCCACCGCCTCGCCCGATCCGTCGCGGCCATCCTCCAGGGGGCGCTGGTGTAGTGAGCAAAGGCGCCCTCCCCTCTCCCCGGGAGCTCGAGAGAGTTGGGCAGAGAGGAAGGTGGCGGCGGGGGAGAGACGCAAACAACTTTTTTGCTTCCAGCGAGTTGCAGGCACCCGGCCCGCCGTCCGCCGGACTTGTAACTTGAGCCTGCAACTGACTGGAGCACGGCGCTGCGAGGCGAGAGGGAGCTGAAAGCCGCCTCGGCGGAGAGACCGAACTAAGCCCGCTCAGGGGGCAACGGCGGCGGGGAGTGAGTGCTTCCTTTCCCCGGTCCTAGGCTCGCCCCGACGCTGGGGAAGCCGGCAATGGGTAGGAGAGAAACCTCGTGAACCTCCGGCGAACTTTTCCCCTCCAACGTGCAGGGCAGTCGGAGCGGGGCAGGCGGATGGAGGATGCGCTCTGCCCGGCGAGCTGTCTAAGAAGGAGGCGGCGGCGGCGAGGGAAGCGCCGGGGACGACGACGATGAAGCAGCAGCAGCAGCTGCCGGCCTCGCCGCCTCCGAAGCACTACGGTGCGGGCTGTCCGGAGCCCCGGCCTCATGTGGCCCCGGCTTCTTCGGGGGGTCTCGGTCACGGCATGGGCTGGAGGAGGAGGAGGAGGCCCTTCTCGCTGCTGCCTTTCTTTTCCCTCCGCGACTACGGCTTCTGCATGGCCGCCCTGCTGCTCTTCTGCCTAGGCTCCCTCTTCTACCAGCTCAACGGGGGCCCTCCTCACTTTCTGCTGGACCTGAGGCACTATCTGGGTAAGGCCACGGAGGGAGAAAGCGGGCAGGGATGCTCTTGCCGCCGAAAGGGGCTGGAGGAGAGCCAGGCCAGGGACCCCTCGCGTTTCGTGGCTGGAGAGAGCTTTTCCCGAAGCGAGAGCCGTTTTCTTGAGAGAAGGGAAGACTTCCCGGGCTCCTTTACGTACTCTGGGAAGGGGGCGGGGGTCTCCGAAGTTTAAATTGGGTCCCACTTGTTGTTAGGGGCATCTTTTCACAGCTCTCTGCCTGCCATCAGTTCGTAAGTGGACCCATGAAATTTTACACCCTTCTCTTTCAAAGAAGTAGAAAGGGAGAGCGAGATTACTCCGTGAGGGTGGGGTTTTTTTGGGGGGGGCTTTCCAAATAAGGTGTGCTTGCAACGGTAAGTTGGTGAATAGTAGCGTATGTGAAAAATGCTGAATTAAATATTTGGAATTGGGAGGGGAGTTGTCTTTGCTACCTAATTGGGATAATTTCCTTGTACTGTATGCATTATTAAGAGCCAACAAGCAACCAAACTTTTGTCTTCATTATATTACATAAGCATACTGGGGAGGGGGGGAGGGAGGGGGAAATCCTATTTATTATAACCAAGGTTGACATGATGAAACTTATTAAGTGAATTAAAGAATACTTTAATTTGCGTTTAAGTGGCCCTAAATAAGAAAGCTTTAAGGCATAAATGAGAAGTAAGAAGTACAACAGTGGCTTTTATGAATCCTTAGCCATATTATTTGGACAGATTGCTTTAATAGGGTCCTTAATATGCACTTTCCATCATATAAATTAATCCATAGTGTTATCTTTCAAAGATTGGAATTTTAGCTACTACATTTAATATTTTCTTTTCCTTCCTTTCACTTCATAATCCTTGGAATGTTTGGTAACTGTCATGTTCTTCATTATAAAGCTATGTTTAGCAAGCACAAATAACATCTTTTGTGCTCTTATTAGCCCCATGTACAGTAAGAGCCAGTTTGTAATAGAATAGTTGGGGAACTAGAGGGTGACAAAAAAGTCCTATATCACTTCTGATTTTATTAATAAATCATTGAGGTTCACACCTGATCCCAGCCTCCCAGGGATAAAATATTGTTCAACAGACAGCAGTAGACTATTATTGGTCTTTCAAGATAGTGTTGGATAACTAGGCTATAATGAATGTTTAATGGAGGAGACTTAGAAAAATTCAGTGGAAAGTAGTAACACCCTCTGTTAACCATAAACTTAAAATAGTTATAATAGGACCCTTGGGTTTAAACATGTGTCAAAGTCATCCGCTGATCACAGCAGGGGTGTAACTGGCAGCTGGCAGATGTTTTCACATAGAGTGGGTGACATCCATTGTATCTGTTGTCTTTGGACTGTTTAGAGCAGGGCTTTTCAACCTTTTCACCCATTGTACCACTTTTAGCATATGGCAATATCTGAGTACCACCAATCGCCTAGCAAGGTGTCAAAAACTTGATGACCAAAAAAAGGAAAAAAGTGATAAAGTACAGGTAGTCCTCGACTTACAACAGTTCGCTTAGTGACTGTTCGAAGTTACAATGGCACTGAAAAAAGTGCCCCCCAAGCCACAGCCGAGCAAGACACCTGCCTGCCCGGTCGGCGGCACTCTTCCTCCTGTCCGAGGTTTTCATTGTTGTGAGCATTTCTGTTGAGGATTGGCAGCAGGGGTGGGGTGGGGGGATGTTTGGTTTTTATTCCCCCATCTGCTGGGTGGTTGCAGCAGGTTTTGGTCACTTCACATGACCCTGGGACACTGTGACCGTCATAAATATGAATCAGTTGCCAAGCATCTGAATGTAAATCACAAGACCCTAGAGATGCTGCGACATTCCAGCTGATCGGTGCTTCTTCTGGGTTCAGCAGAAGTGCCAGGATCATCGCTGAGCTCCAGCTGGAGCCTGGTGCTGATCCTGGCGCTTCCACTGAGCCCTGACAGCCCCAAAGAAGTGCTGATCCTGGGGCTTCCGCTGAGCCCTGACAGCCCTGCAGCTCCAGCCGTCTCTCGCTCAGGCTTGTGCAGTGCTGCCACCGGTTCAGCTCATTCTCCTCCCCCGCTATCACTTTTCTAGGATGGTCGCATACCATCTGCCAGGTGCCAATGTACCACAGGTGGTACCCGTACCACTGGTTGAAAAGCCCTAGTTTAGAGAACTGTATATGTTAGTAAAGTCTCTCTTTTTGTTGTTATTATTTAATGCTATCACCTAAAATGATCTTATTTTAGGCCATTGTAATTTATGAGATGACCCTTAGAGATAATGTCCATTCCTTTATAATATTTCTCCTGTTAAGATTATATAGATTTCACTGCTAACATTTAGTTAATATCCTAATGTATTTTACATGCAGTCCAGCTGATTTAGTTTCTACTACTTTCAAATGACATTGGAGGTTATATAGCAGTTGTAAGTCCATTTTCTGACATTCATGTATTATGTCCAGTAAATGTATATATGTATTGCTTTATTATGAAGCACATTTATTATTGAATCCATAAATTTATTTCAGAGGTTATTGTGTTTTATGTATTTCTTTCTGCTAACATCACCAATTCCCAAATTGATTGATTGTGAATGTTCCTTTTGAAATTCAGTAATGAAGTTTCCACATCTGGGTCCGTATACTTTTTTTTTTTTTTTTTTTGTTAAGAGAGACAAGAAGTGGAATAGTATTTTTCAAAAAAAATTCCACCATCACTGAAGAAATGGAAATAAAAGCTTCTTTTGAAGCTGCTTTTCTGTACACGGCTGCTTGATGTATTATATTGCTTTGTGAGTTTTGGTATTTCTCTGTTCCCTTTACCCACTAAATGTATTTAATACTGAACATTTCCTTGGAGGAATGTGAATCACTCTCAGGTTTGTGATTCAGATATGAGTTTATTATAGAAATAGCTAGTATAAAGTATGGAAAAGTAAAAAATTGAGGCTGTACTGTTATTTTATTCAACTACGCTGAAAAGAGTTGGAAATTAATGCTTTTCTGAGAGAGACCCAACACAAAAAATAATTGATGCCCAGTTTCTGGTTTAAAGTCTACAAACTCAGGTGGTGGAGAATTATGAAGTACATAAAAATGAAAAGTGCTTAGAATTGTTTTCCATTTAGTTAAGGAGGAAAGCAGTTATACTGTGTTAATTTGTAGTAAGAAAAAATATCTTGAACTTTATAATAAATATCAATGATCTTGATAATACAAATATATACATATACTTCACTGCTTATTCTCTTAGACATATCTGGAATCCAGTTATTTCAGAAGCTAGAGATAAGTACTAATAGTCATAAAAATCTATGTGGTACTTGACACTCTAGTTATATTCACCATTATGTAAGAGACATATTCTTACATGTATGGTGAGGCTTCTCCCTGTTTACTTCCTTCTGTATAACTTCCATGTCTGCTCCAAAAAGTCCCTCTCTAGCAGATACTATTCTACCAATAAAGAGAATACTTGTATTCAGGATTGAAATGAGAAGTCCTTGGTGATCTCTGAGCTTGATTGCTTTCTTAGTGATGTTTCATTACCAAAACTAGGTAATATCATCAGTCTCCCAAATTAGGTAACTGTCAACTTTAGACTGAGCATGGCTGCAGCCATCTTTTTCCTTCTCATTCCTAGTTGCCACATAGCATGGAGGGAGGGGGTTTGCCAGGTGTTGCTCTAGACAAAACAGACTTTCTCTCTCAGACTTTCTGTCATGGGAACCAAGGTCATCGGCTGATCCCAAGACTGCAGGCTGGGCATTTCATGAAAACGTAGTTGCTTACATAGCCTTGGGGGTGGGATTTCTTAACTTTGTATTGGGGAATTGTTTTTTTTTAAGTTTTTTTTAAACAGAGTTCAATAATAATTATTCAACAAAAATGTGTTGTCTGAGTATCTTATTCACTAATACAAATTAAATTCCTAATCCCTAAATCTTTTTTCTAACCATTGATAAAATAGGTCCAAAGTTTGAAAGTATTCTGTTTCTTCTTTTTCTTTCAACCTTAAAGTAAGTCTGTCCATTTCCGCACAGTCTAATATTTTTTTGATTATTTCTTTTTCTGGTGGTATTTCTTCATTCTTCCAATACTGTGCAAATATAATTCTCGCCGCTGTTATCACATATAGAATCAAATATGTACTTTGCTTATCAAGTTTTTCTGGCATTATACCTAGTAAACAAAATTCAGGTTTATAGTCTATGTGTTTCTCTAACATTTTTTCTAACCAAGTATGGATTATTGTCCAATATCTCTTTGCATTAACACATGTCCACCACATATGATAATAAGTACCTGGTTTGTGTTTACTTTTCCAACATTTCTCTGACATGTTTTTAAACACTTTTGCTAATCTTGTTGGTGGCAAATGCCATCTATAAAACATTTTATATAAGTTTTCTTTGTATGAAGCTGACATTGTCAATGTATAGTTTCTTTCCCACAAACTTTGCCATTTTTCTAAGTCTATATTATATCCAAAATTCTTTGCCCATACTATCATTGTCTCTTTTACTTGTTCACCTTCCGTTTTGAAATTTAATAAGAAATTGTACATTTTTTAAATTAACTTTTCATCAGAAGTTAATAATCTGATCAAACATACTCTGTTCTTTGTAATATCCATACTGTTTAATATCTTTATCATATCTGACTTGCATTTGTAAATGTGACAACCATGTTAAATTGATGCCCTGATCTTCCATCTCTTGCCTGGATTTTAGGTTCCCTTCAGAATTTAGAATGTCTTTGTATGTCCATATTTTATCGAGACTGACTAGATTTGGATGTACAAATGAATGCTTCCATTGTTGAAAGCCATCCTGGAATTTTCAAATAAATTTTACATTTTATTTTTTCCCAAGTTAATAATAATGCATTTCTAATGTAGTGGTTTTGGAAGTATTTATGTATTTTATTTTTTCCATACCCAGGAAAGCATGCCAACCAAGTTGCAGGTCATGTTGCTCCAGATACAGCAATCTTTTATTTTTAAGAGT